GGCACAATTTGAGCTGAAGTGAAGGCTAGACTTTGGTATAAGTACACTTGCTCTTCTGCTATTGTTGCAATTTGGAAAGGGGCAGAGAATGTTACAATAAACATTAACCATCAACAATCAGGTAACAGTATTTTACTGGTTTCCTCATAGCCAACTACATTCCACAGTGTTCAGTGAATGATCTCTTTGAGGGAACGTGGTATCTAATGCGAGTGGATGAAAAACACAGAAGAACTTATGCTCGACGTCCAGTGCTGGGTGATGGGCCTTTAGAAGCAGGAGCAGATGTTGTCCATTCAAGCATAGTTCATGAGGTGAACATTTTATATTTTTGTTAGTTTTGCTATTTACATCTATTATTTCTATATGGTGGTGCTATTCAAACCCCCTGTAAAAGGAGGACCCGGGGATGACAAGTTCTTTCCATCTAATTTGTTTAAAAAAAGGTAAAATAAGAGCCAAAAAATTAAAGATATACATTTAAAAAAAAATGCAGAATGTAAGTTTTGGTGCAAGAGAGACGGAGTCAGTTTGTATATAAACCAAGACTGCAGAAACATCCAATCAGACATGAATTCCTAAAACCAAACTTTCTAACTAGTGTAGCATGAATTTTGTCTGGGAGATAATGTTGGGAGTCTAGGAAGAAGCAATACAATCTAAGAGTAAAACTGGAACTGGAAACTTGTGTTTCCTAAAACTTTTTTTTTTTCCTCCTCAGCTTATCCCAAGCCCTGCTAAGAAAGTGCCAAGAATCCCTGCAACAAAAGAATCTGAAGCTGTTGCTGTCTCTGTTGCCAATGGAGAGCATTAATATACCTCTGTGAGGTGCGAAATTAATCAAAATGGGTGTGTGGTGGGAAAGGAAAAGGGATTAAATATTATCTAAGGTTCACTGTACAGAAATACTCTAATTGGAGCATGGAAAACTGTTTAAACTCTTTGAGAGGCTTTGTTTAATGTGGAATCATAACACTAAAGCATGAATGTATTGGAAAAGAAAAAGGCAAAGGTTCTGTGGGCTTTCATAACTCTGGATGTTCGTGTTGTTTTAAAAAAGGGTTCAGGAATGGGTGTACCAATTATAAGATCTTGGTAACTGGACACAGAAAAACAGGAATTTTGCTTGACTTCCCAAAATTTTTAGTGAAACCTTCTAAAATAGGCTGTAAAATTTTTTTTAAAGGGGGTGGGGGGAGGTGCAGAGGAGGGAGGAACGGGTTCCCTCTTCTCCTCAAAAACTGACCAAAAGCCATTTTCTCTCTCTCAATTTCTGAAGTCACTTTGATTTTTAATGTTGGGGTCCCTAGTGCCTTGACAGTAAGTAGTCAGTTTTCTAAATACAATATACCCATTTCTTTCCCTGCTTAAAAAAATAAGTTAGGAATAGGTATTAAGTGATCAAAAATCTGTGACCACTAGATAGGTTTGGTCTCAGTCTAACTCCCAGTGTCCATATCGCATCACTTTTATCCACATCCTTAAAGCCCACCACTATACTGTTTTGGCAACATTAGCAGAGGCCAAGGACTGAATGAAGTTGGATAGTCCTTCCACTGAGCAGTTCTTGGCAGGGCAGTGGGAAGAAAGCTATATCTGTCAAATAAAGGGTTTAGTTCCATAATTCTTTCAATCTGGCACCTTTTAAAAGGCCTTTAGGTTTAATACTCTTTTTTTTTAATTTTTTTTGTCAGAGTGATCAGAGAGCAGACTTCTAGTCTTCAGTTTCCAAATACTATGGGGAGCTTATCAAACTGACAGCCCACAAAGGGAAAAGATATAATAGTTCGTCCTTGACTCCTAGCTCTTGCTTTTACTGTATTTTTCTTCATGACAGTTTTTAACTCTGAACTCATGATTGGCTTCGTTTCACACTCCCCTTGTACTTCTATAACAAGACTGTTGCAGGAAAACACAAAAACCTTTTTCCATCCTTCCAGTCTGAAATCTGTTCATCAGGCAAGGATTAAATGCCCAAAACTAGTGGGGAGACCATTCTGAGATATGAAGAGCCTTGCTAACTTGTAAAATATATTTAAATTGTTCTAATGTACAGGACTGAGTCTCTTGTTTAATTTTATTTTACTGTCCACTTCAAAACTTAATTGTCTAATATAAACTTGCAGAAATGACATGTTGCAAAATGCAGATTTTTGTGTAACGTAGTGTTTGTATAATACACCATATGTCACTCACTAGGATTTGGTAACTTTTTTTTTGTTGGACATGTACAGTCAACTTTCTAAAATTTCATTTAATATGAACTGATGTGGACGAATGGTCTAAGTGCTTTTACAGAAAGTGATGGAGAAATGAGGCATGAAGATACTTTGCAAGTGTTTGGGTTTTTAGTTTCATAAGAGCAACTTAATTTGTCGCCAGAAGACAAATTTATCACAGAATAAAGTCCATTGCTGGCAACGGACAGGCCAAGAACTACTGGCACAAAAAAATTAACTTGCCATCCTCACTAACACTGAAGCAGATGCTTTTGTAAATAAAGTTTTAGAGATATTTGAAACCGGTGTTGGTGTAGTGCTGAACTGATGTGGACTACATCTCTTAAATGGATTAGGACAAATCTAATGACCCAGCAAACACTGGAGAGTATACAGGTTACTGATCAGGGAACCCAGGCTATGCAGGTGTTCTGGTGTAAATGCTTCCCTTTTGTGTTATATAGTGGAATATTAAGAGGAAAATTAATCAGACTGTCTAGCTGACACTCTAACCTACAAATATTTAGAATCATGTTTTAGGACTGTATATTCAATATTATGTACAGCCTGTTCTTTAAACCCAAACCATTTCTAATGCAGCTGTAGTCTGCAACAATTCTATTCCCATCCCCTTTTCTTCAATATTTTGAAAGACTTGATAGCTTAATTTTTCTTGACTGCCCCCTTGCTCTGCACCCATCTATGACTACGATGCAGTCAGTTTCCCGTTACTTTTTTTTAAATCCAAGCTCCTCTTTACTACATAAAAGCAAATGAAGGAATATTGAACCACCCCACTTCATTTTTAATGTATAAAAAGAGCTATTTAAAACTCTACCAGGCCAGTGTAAAGATGGAAAAGCTGCATTTGAACGTAAGTTCTGGTTGTCTGTTAGTAATACAAACGGAAGCTGTGCAACTTCAATTTTTACTTGGCCTAACAGGGGCTTACCTCTAGCTGTCAAAGTAGCCATTTTAACTGTGCCATCTCATAGTGGTATAACTATTGGGGAAACAGTCTTACAGTTTGTATTTAAGTTGATAGTAGGGGGGAGCAGAGCCCAGAACTTCCGACTTAAGCGGAAGTAGGGGTATCTTTGTCTCCTACCTTACACACAAGGATTGCATAGGGCAACTCTCTTAAAAGGGGACATAGCAATGTGAATAAAGCAAGGAGACCACTATTACAAGAGACTAGAATATTAAAAAAAACCCAAAGCAAACAACGAACCAACCCTGTCCCACTCTTGTGTATGGTTTGTGGTATTTGGTGGTAGATTTTTGATACCAGTGACCATTAAAAGTAAAACAAAAACAAACTGTTTCAGCTTTCGGTGCTAATCTTTACTGCTGAAGCACTGTATTGTGGTATGTTTCCTTAATGCCCTATTCAAGGACATTTAATGTTGAATCTATAAGTGAAGCTAAAGCCAGATAAACTTGGAGTCTGGTCCTGTTAGCAATAGCCCATGGCCTTCATTTGGAGCTGGACTGGGTATGCTGTAGTTCTGCATTCTTGATACCTCGTCTCCCTATTCATGGTCTTATTAATAAGTATGTCACAGAGGTAGCAGAAGTCACAGATTCCATGACTTTCTCCAACCTCCGTGACATTGGGGCCCTGCAGCAGCCCAGCCACTGCTGCCAGCGGGGGGACGCTCTCGCCCAGCCACAGCGAAGGACCCCCCTCAGCTCCCAGCCGCCCTCTGACCGTCCCCAAGCTCCTAGCCGCTGGGCAGGGGTGAGGGGCCACAGCTCCCTGCCACTACATGCAGCGGGGCAGAATGGTGGACCCTCCTGCCTCCCCATTTTGTCAGGGATGTTTTTAGTAAAAGTCTAGGACAGGTCACGGCTTCTGTGAATTTTTGTTCATTGCCCATGACCTGTCCATGACTTTTTTTACTAAAAATGTCCATGACAAAATCGTAGCCTTAATTATTAATTCACACAAGGATCAAACCATCCTAAGGCCAGTAGATGGCAGCATAGCTGTCAGTACCCAGGAGTAGCAGCATTTCTCACAGTGGTACTAAAATAAAGGTGCAAAATGTTTGATTTGAGTTAGTGGAGGAGCATGTTAGGGTTTGACTTTAAATATAGGATAACTTGTGATACATTACAGCAAGAAATACCTAGACAAACCAGAAGCAATTTTCTGGATTTTTCAAAAGCTGATCCTGGACTAATGATGAGAAAGGGAAAAAAGGTTAGAGCCTCTTTATCTGTCAAGGTGGAATAGCTAAAAATGAAGCGCTAACATTTAATACCTCACATATGCCTGTTAGTCTTAGCTTAAGTAAATAGTTATAGATTCCTTGTAAATAAATATTCACAGCTGTTCAGGAATCAGTTTCTTTAAATAACCAGATTTTGTCCATTGCAAATTGGCAGTCATTTAGATTCCTGTACTGTTGTGACTTAACATCAGGCTAATAAAGTAATATTTCTGCAAGTGGCCACATATTATAAATAGCTGTCTTAAAAGATCAGCCCAACTATATTGAGTAATTCTACTCAATTATTAAAAAACATCCATTCAACAACTTGTATTTGTTAATCAATTAATATATCTTCCATTTTACATGTGAGGTCTGTGGGCCAAAGTGCAAACACAAGCAAGTCTGTTTGAGCACACCAGTCCTCTGGATGAACTAATACATTTTGAGATTTAAGGCAGTTTTGGTTTATTTAAAAATTACAAAAATGTAACATCAAAGTTTACTGTGAAATGAATAAAACCCCTTGTTAAAGTTACTGAATGTAAAGTCTGCTATATACAATTCATAAAATTGAACACAACTTGGATGTATGTCTGATACCACGGTGCGAACTGTGACCTTTCTTTAAGTCCTGCTCTTTGGGTTCTGGTTGTGTGACTATAGGAACAGTCTCCAGGGCTCTTTTCTTCTGCACTCTGTGCAAAACAATGCGGTAGATACCAGTTATTGAGCTTCGAGAATCTCTTCCACGGTTATTTTGAATGTGTTCTTCTGTGATTCCCAAATCTTCCAAGGTATTTTTCACTTCAATTTCTTCCTCTTTGAGGGTACTAGTCTCTGCTAAATACTTTGGATCCAGTTTAAATGGGTCCAAGGCTTTTGGATACTGTATCCCTTGCATCCATTCGTTCTTCATAATACATTCAATAGAGTATCGTGCAGTTGGGACTGGCTGAAGAACTCCTCTGATCAGTTTCTGGCAAGTGTCTGAAAGGTATGGGGGCAGGCTATATGTCCCATCAAGAATGCACTTCTTCAGTTTGGCTACTGTGTCCGCTCGAAATGGCATTGTACCAGTTGTCATAAAATATAAAAGGATGCCTAGTGCCCATATGTCCACGTAAACCCCAACATAGTTTTCATCTCGGAAGAGCTCAGGGGCAGCATAAGGAGGAGACCCACAGAAAGTGTTTAAAGTTTCCTCTCTTTTACTTATTGTGCTGAATCCAAAGTCTCCCACCTTCACACAGGTGTTACTGGTATAGAATACATTTTCTGCCTTCAGGTCCCGGTGAATGATATTGTTATCATGCTGTAGAGCAAAAGGAAAGCAAATTAAGTATTAGTATATATGAGAAGGCTTTTCCAGCTCATTTTTTTTTTTCTTTATCTTTGCTATACAGAAGTTGCCATTTTTAAAAGTCAACATTTGCCAAGTTACCACACACAGTGGATCTGAGATCCTCCACTGTTTCCCTATAGTTGGACTAGGAAAGTCTAGATGTAAAAGTATGGAAATGCACAGTTAAGGTGCCCAAACGAACTTAAATTTTCCCTGTGTTAACACCAAGGGGGTGGGGGAGAAAAAGCTGTAAGGTGTCTTTAAAAATCAGTGTAATCTGACACCATAACAACACATGCATTAATCATAGTTGTACGGTTAAAGGCACCTGAACTTCCTAACCCTAATATTCATATTTCTTTTAAGGGGTTTATAACACTCTTTTTGCAATAATTACAATATCTTTCACGTTTTTTACCTTACTTTACTGATAAGTATTTTTAACCATACCTCCATCTTATTACTGTGTTTGTGTGGGATTAGAATTTAATGCCAAAAGGCATGTGATTGGCCTTTATGCACTATCCTGTATCCAAACAGAACATCCTTTGATCTCTTTTTGAATGTTTCTGTGGATGATACCTCAGCAGTCTTTAGTCTTGATTAAAAAGCAGACCAAACGCCCATTGACTTCTATAGAAGTTTAGGCCAGGGTTGAATTTGATCCACGAACATCTTCTAAATGGGATTATCATCACTTTTTAGACCCTGATTTATTCTAAAACTACAGCAGTGCTAACAGGTGCCATTATGCTGTTCCCTCTCATCTGCTGCGTTCTCCCTCCCCATTGTAGCACTTCCATTACCTACAAAAACAGAAACCTGCTCTAACATGCTAATTCTGGGTTCCAATAGTTGGCATGATATAGACTGTCTCATTCAGTGTGTTTACAGATGTAACACCTAGGTTATGACTTCACATGTGGATGAGAGTGCTGCACAAGAGTAAGGAAAGTTGTCATACTGGTGTGTTGCTTTATGTGAAATGAGTTTTGTGTTCTCAGTCCGATACCCAAAGAAGAGGTGACAGTATCAGAAAACACACCGCAAAGGCAGCATAGTTAGGCATTAAACAGAGAGGCCAAGAGTTGAATGGACATGGAGACAACAGTACTGTCTCTCCCTAAAAGCAATATCCCTAGACAAAGGCTGAAGAACAGTGATGTGGGGAAGTCTACATTGCCACTGCACGTGGGGGTATCTGTTCTACGGGGACTTTTAGTGTCCAGAGCTGCCTTTCAGGAACCTTTCATTAGCACTACTCTCACTTGGTGCAACACAAAACAAAAATACATTAAGTCTGCTAAAGTAATGCAGGGTAATTTAGGCCTACAGAAAAACAACTTACCATGTGCTTCACAGCAGATGCAATCTGGGAGAAAATTAATTTACTTTCCATTTCTGCTAACTTTCCCTCTGTGCTGATTTTAACAAAGAGTTCCCCACCTCCTGCATACTCCATCATAAGGTGCAGTTTTGACAATGTTTCCACCACTTCGTAAAGTCTGATAATGTTTGGGTGGTGCAGTTTCTCCATGCTGGAAATTTCACGGGACAGTAAGCGTTGAGTCTTCTGGTCCAACTTGGTCTTGTCCAAAATCTTAATTGCTACTTTTTCTGGAGAGTAAAATGTATTGGAATGTATTAGTACAACAAATATTTATATCGACACTCTTACTTTAAAACAATGCTCATTTAACTGAAAACTTTTTAAAATCTCAATTCTTTGAGTGATTGCTCACATAAACTCCAGTTAGGTGTGTGTGCGCTGCACGCACAGTCGTCAAAAAGTTTTCCCTTAGCAGTGGAGCCCCCTGGAGTGGTGCCTGCATGGCACTGAATATATGCCCCTGCTGACCCGGCTCCTCCTCAGTTCATTCTTACCACTAGTGACAGTTGTCGGAACTGTGGTCGCTTGCCTAGCAAGTGCTTCCCTTAGTGTAATTTCTGATCGTTGTAGTTTAGTTCTTAGTTAGTAGTAATAGTTAGTATATAGTGATAAGGGTTGGGGAATGGGCTTTTTTTTCCCCCAATCCCTAACCCTTCCCTCTCTGGGCTCTGGGGCATGCCACGAGCCCAAGGGTTCAAACCCTGCGGAGCCTGCAGCAAACCTATGTCAACGAGTGACCCTCATCACTCGTGTCTGAAGTGTCTGGAGGAGGTGCACCAAACGGACAAGTGCAAAATCTCTAGAGCTTTCCACCCCAGGACGAAAAAGGAGTGAGACTTCCGACTGAAACAATTGCTGATGGAATCCGTTCTTCATCCCCAGCCTGCTGTTGATCGTCAGGACCCGGCACCGAGCGTGTCCGTACAGAGTGCCTCGCGTGACATGGTGCCGAGTAAGGACTCTAGTCTAAGAAACCCTCAGCACCGGTGCTCCTCGGCACTGCAAGCTTCAGCCCGGCACCACTCCCATTAACCAGTGCTGCACAAGTGGCATAGGAAGACCAACAGGGGGCGCTCCCCATGCCAAAGACAGCAGGACTGGCAGTGCATCCCACGAAGGAGCATTTAGTGCCCAAACATCAGGAGTTGGTGCCATTGACTTCGGTTCCCCTGAGGGGACTATCGAGTCTGGTGTCCAGCGACTCCCCAGAGCAGTGCCAGGTGGAGGAGCTAGAGCTGCCCTCCACACCGGACACTTTTGAAGCCGCCAGAGATCTCATTGCCATGATCGCACCCCAGCCCCTGGCAGTCAGGGATGAGCCTCCAGTGCCGCATCATCCGGCACTGTCTAGACGCAAGCCAGCCATGCTGAGGAGATCACCATCGCCGGTCCGGCACCATTCGCCCCGGCGCCGCTCCCGATCATGGTTGCCAAAACACTGTTATCTGGCACTAGGTTCCAGGCTTGGCTCCCCGGCACCAGTGGGGCGATGCTCCCCTTCCCCAGCACCGTGAGAGGAGCTCATGGATTCCCAGCAAGGGTACCTCGGCACCGTTCCCCTGCATCGTTGGTTCCCAGCGCAATAACCTTTGGCGCCACCGTGGTCGTCACGGTTGAGATGGGTCTCGTCCGACTCTGACGGGGACTCCTTCTGTTCCTGCCACAGTCGGCACAGATTGGACCAGCAACGGAGGGAGACACCGATGGCATGGCATCCCCAGTGGCAGCCTCCAACACAATGGCCTTTTTGGACCCCCTGGGCTTACCATCAGGCCCAGGGTTCCAAGACGATGTCAACAAAAGCCCCACCGCCTGTCCAGGTCGCAGTTGCATGTGTTGTGCAGCAGGTCTTGCAGATGTTACTTTTCTGTGTGCACAGGATGATGCCTATTTTCAAAGGCCTTTAGGGAGAGAGTCATAGAAGTTAAGGCCAGAAAGGACCACGAGTTTGCCTAGTCTGACCTCCTGTTTAATCACAGGCCACCAGCACTACCTGGCACCCACACACCAAACCCAACAACTGAAATTAGACCAAGGAATTACAGTCCTCCATCCTATTATGAGCCACAAACTATTAGAGACACATTCAAGCAAGTTGTAAATGAACCCTGTTGCTAATGTAGCCAAGGTCTGGGTGCATACAACCTTTGGATACATGTGGAGTGCACTGATTTAGAAAAGGGGATTCAGTTTGCCAGGCTGGGTCTGCACTGCTCTACTTCCACCTTCCTCCTCCCAGTTCTGGCAGGCCTGAGAAAGATGGTATTTAGTAGACAAGAGCGCATCAGTGTCGTGTTGTGCAAGGCTGGGGGGCAGAAAGGAAACAGTGCCCCTCTGCAGCCTATCCTCAGCTGTGACTCCAATTCCTAGCCTGGACTAGGGGCTGAGACTTCTGCACAATCCCAACATAGGGGTTTGTGTCCACTGGATCTATGTAACCCTGCCCCTAAATGTCCTGTCCACAATGGTGAATTCAGAACAGGCCCTGGGCCCACCTTTGCTACATTCAGGGGTGCTGAGGCCCTCTGTGTGTCCCCTCTCTAGCTGCCAACATCCAGTAGAGCAGAACTACCATAGTCCGCTACAGTGGAGGCCTACTACAGTCCTTACGTTCTTCGGTGAATGTCACCCAAGTATCAGTTATGCCCCAGGTTTTAATATGTTTTCTTGGAACAATATCCTCTGCTGTGCATTGCAAAATCAAACCTCACCAGCCCCCCACACTGCAATGTGGGTGGGGATCATTAGCATTTATACTGCAGTATTCACTTCTGGTGGAACCGTGCCACCATGCTATGACTTCCAAATCAACAGCTGCATGAAAACTTGGACTAGGGGCTATTACGCAGTCACACTCAGGAGTCATTTATTGGCTGAGATACAAAAAAATGCTAAACTGCATCAGTATTTAAATTAAAAATTATGGAAGTATATACAAAGAACAGGTGTTAACAATGTTCATTGTCGTTTTCTAGTCTTTCTAATAAATAAAGATTAGAGACCACAATCAGTGGATACTGATTTCTGCCATGTGACAGAGGTAAGAATCTTTTGAAACACTGATCTGTATCAGGTGCCTGGTGCAGGGAAACAAAGACAAATTCCTCACCATGATTCCTGAATGTCACAACTTTAGTATAAAACCTATGACACACGCATGTAAATTTCAATTAGGATTCAATCAATGTTCATAAAAAAGAGTTCACTCTACCATTGTCTGAAAACAAGGGGAAGCGACGCCACTTTCCCTCTCTAAGACTTCCCATTTTTCCCTGTGCCCTTTTATCCCTTTCTCCTCTTTTTGATCCTCATTTCCATCTCTTTCTCATGGCCCTGCCCTTTCCTTCCTGCATTCCCTCTCCAGCCACTCCAAGAGATGTTTTAAAGCCCCCAAGCCCTTCCCTCTCTCTGACCTTTTCTTCTTCTCTTTGCTATACATATATAGAATACATACATATTCTAAAGGTTTGCAAACCCTCCATCTTTCCCCATGCATGAGGTTTTTGTTCTATTTTCTTTCACTGGTACCAGAAGAGCTATCTGCTACATGTGACCCATGATATGTTGCTTGATTTGATTGTTTGCTTTTTAGGGGAAGCAGTATCTTATCATTGAGCAACATCTCCTTTAATATCAATCACGCAGCAATAAAGGGAATACCAAGGAAAGGAAGGAGCAGGGAGGACACCAGAGTCAGAGGTTGGTCTGGGCCCGCATGTATGTTACTGAATCCTGGAGAGAGATCACGTTGGCCTATGAAGAGGGCTTGCTGAAAATTTTCCACTGAACTTTTGTATTGATGGAAAATTGGGGGTTCAAATAAACAAATTTTTTTGTGGGAAATCTGCTTTCCTTAAAACATGTTGGGTTTTTTTCACCACAAAGCTGATTTTTTTTGGCTCTCTTTGGCTGACAATGTTCATTCTTTAATTTTCAATCCTAAAGGGGGGGTTACAAATTTTGATGAAATGTCAACATTTTCCAGGGGGGAGGAGCATTTTTCAAGTAACTCTACTTATGAGCTCATGTGTTCTCATAAATTAAGCAGTCAGATCAGGTTAGTATTTGGATGAGAGACCAACACAAAAACACTTACATGCGTCAAGAAGGGGTGTTAGTAATTCCACCTGCTGAACCAATGTGCCATCATGGTGTTAGGTGGCACTGGCTTATAAAAATTCTTACGATCTTTTTGTAAGAGTCCTGGTGTTACCCTGATGTCCAGGTCAAATTCTAATTATATTCTGCCTCTTGAAATTCCACTCATTATTAAAATTGGAAATAATGTTAGTCTTCACCAACTGTTAAAAAACCCTAAAAGGTTCTTTTGCTCAGCTAGGACAACAAAACAAAGATCATTTGGCATTCATAAGCCAAGCAAGTTTGGAGGTATGGGAAGCCAAAAAAAAACCACCCCCCAAAAGAGAAAATGATGTTTTTCAAAAGTTAAGACAGAAAATATTCAAAACGCTGTGGGGCTTAGTCTTCTTTCACTTTACAACTGTGTAACTGCAGCAACTTGAGTGAGTTTATGTCTGAATTACACTAGTGTGAGAGAGGAATCAGGCACTTCAGCTTTAAAACGCCTTTTCTGTTGTTTTTTTTAACCAGTGTTCTCAGTAAACGTGTATCCTGTAATGAGATATGGCACATGCAATGTGCAGAGGGATGTTACTTCTTTTTTTTAAAGTCATAAGAGAGGCTGAAAAATCAGTTTATAATAAGAAGCAAACTTCAATCTTAACTGCTATAATAGAATATCAGTCACTATAGTATCTGAACACTTATATTGGTCATGAAAAACAATATACTGTAAGCTTTGCATATGGCAGTATTTCTGTTGATTTAATTGTTGCCCAGTAAAATGCCAAAGTAATCAGGATTCTCTAGACTAGGATTTTTAAATTGCATTTTTGTGAGTGTAATGTATAATTATATTTCCTCACTGGGGACAGGATGGATCAGGCAATTAATAATAGGATAAGGAGCCTTTCACATCTAGATCACCAATCTGAAACCTGCCAAGGCTGTTATTAACTATAAGTTAACACTGGATAACTGGTGTGTTGCTTACGTGAGATGATTTGGTGATTTCTGGCTGATTCAGACTGGGCAGGTGTCCACATCACTGAACCACCACCAGTACCACAGCTGGACTGCTCAGCAAAAAAGGACTTAATGGGGCAGTGGGGGGAAGCTTGTCCTGCCCTGGCTCATGTTGCATGTA